AATTTTTTTTTTGAAAAGTTTTTTTCTTAAATTGTTAATGTTTGTCGTAATACGCTGTATACCACGTCACATTAACCCATAAATGCTCAGAGAACACATTTCCATTTGAACCCTTTTCCCGTAATGAGTACGACGAAAAAATATTCGATAACCAGTGTTTTTATGTTTTTAACGATGCTCATTTCTATGGTGTTAGTTAAAGTTACCTCCGACAATACTAGAGCATGGAAAAATAGAAAATAAACAAAAAACGTGATTTTTGAATTGACTTTTTTCTTAAAAAGTAATTTTTTGTGTCCTTACGATTTTTTTATATGCTTAAAACCTATGTAAATCATGACCTCGATATCTAAACATGAAATAATCACCGTTGGTCAAGTCGAAATGCCTTTACAAACTGTTTGATCAGTTTAAAGTAAAGTGGTGGAAGCAATACTTTTCGGGATCATTCAAACTCGTATTAATTGACATTTTTCATTCCGACTTCCAATTGCATTCTAATTTGGACATAGAAATACCGAATAACAATGATTTTGATTTACCATAAGTCCACTTCAATACATATTTTATCCTAACCCAGTGTTTATCTTGGTGACACAACTTCGTTTTGAAGTAAGCTTAATAAGCATTTTTTACAAAGTTTGTCATATTCAATCTTTGCTTAACTATTGCATATTCTCTGCAAATGTAAGAAAATTACATTTGAATTGTTTTAACAACTCCGAGAAGCCATAGTTAAAGATAAATGAAACACAATCTTTTATTACACGTTAATATTCTCTCTCAATAATGGCGCGCTATAAACTGTTTTTTTTTTCAGGCGGTGTAAACGACTATAGTTACTTTCAGACTATCTAAAATAAAGTAAAAGACAATATAATGCTCAGTCAGAGAGTATTAAATAGAAATATAAGCTATAAAAAACATTTTGTGAAAAAAGAAATAAACTACCTCCGTTACATCCCTGCTATGGAATACGAGCCGGGTGGTAGCGACGCGCAGACGTTTCCCGATCTGCTGTAATTACGCCTGCATAAATAAAAATAATTAAGCAAATTATACGCATTTTGAAAAATTTTACGTAAGATGGGGGAGAGTATCAAATCAAATCTCACGACATTTCAGCAAGAGGGGAGGGCGTGTCGAAAAATCGTCAAAATCACCTCACGAAATTAATGGATGCCCTCTTAACCGTTCTCACGGTTGTTAAAGGGAGGCTTTGCATTATACTGAAAATAGGAAGGATTGTGTAGCCCATCAGATTCACGCTTAAAGACTTTGGACTTTTGGCCAAGTGACCTCGTCCATTGTAACTTCCCCTTAGTATATTTAACTAGTTAGGTAGATTTTCCTTTACTGTATATCAACTCTTTTGCTTCAGTAAGCATGTGTTCTTGCATGGTCGTATTGCATAGATTGGATTGGACTCTACCGCAATCTCCCCTGAGATTCAATTATCGACAGCGTATTTTTTAGAGAATAATGTGTCGAGTATCAGGTTTTGATTAATGATAACTTATTTCTATGATTTTGTAACTTTTCAGATTTTTAGTGTTTGTAAATAATATAGACTCGTTTCAACGGCTGAGGGTGGTATTCAATGGAAAGCCCGTTAGAACGAAGACATGAACCATTAACTACTGCAGTAATTTTGCCGAATACTCAGCTGGGTACCCGGTACAACCAATAGCTGGTTATCCGGTATCCGACAAAATCACTGTCCGGTGCATCTCTCTTAAAGACAACTTATACGTCATCATCTTCATAAGGTCGTGAGTACTAAGACTGGTTGGACACGCACCTCCGCTCTTTCCTATTCTGGGCTAATCTTTGCATTTCCCTAAAACTAGAACAGCCCACATCCTTAACTATTTGCGAACAGTAATCTAACCTAGGGTAGACCTAGGTTAGATTACTGTTACTCTACCCCTCCTAACTCCCGTTTCTGCCTCTAATAGACTTGACCTTCATGTCTGAGAAGGTGTCCTACCAACCTATCTCGCCTACTTTTCATGCTCCTTAACCCTCTATCACGACACGCTACTAAGAACAATAGAAATTTTTACATTTGCTGTTCTATATCGGGTACTATCGATATACCTACCTACGCCTACATACTGATGAAAATAAATTTAAAAAGTCTATTCTTCAGTTTTAATATTTCCATTTCCCAGCTGGAAAGCAATCGGGTGGTAAAAATGGCAGTGACAATCGCCGCCTGGGAAAATCATTATCGCTCTGAGGACATAAACAGAAAATCATATTGCTTTCAGTTCACAAATTCCATTAACGCGGCTTTACAAAACAGAATTGCTACTAGAGGGGTGAAAATCCCAATCAATTTCGAATATACACATACCATGAGGTATAGGGTACATATAGGCATAGTAAATATGTATATATACATATGTATCTCAGAACCTCATCGACCATGTTCGTGTATGAATGTAATTGGGACGTGGGACAATATCTTCAAAGTGTAAAAGGGATATTGGAAAAATTATTTCAGTATCTATAAATTGCCTATTAAATTCGTCTCATTTTATTCGTTGGTAAA